GCGAATCAATCATTTCTCCCATCTACTTGCATCGCACATCATCTTTTTGCAGGAAATCTTAAGAATCGTCATCAATCTTCTTTCTATCTACTCAGTGTGCATGCAGCTAACCACAGCAAAACACAATTTTTCCTGCATCGTAGATAGAGTCGCCCCCCTCGTCATAAACACACTTCCAGATTCAAAAAATATTATTTCCAAATCTGGCACGTATATAGTTTTGAAATTTGTTCAACTGTATTAAATCGATTTGAATGGACATTTCTTACCAATTTTGTTTCGAATACCTCTTGATTCATCTGCTGGCAGCACTTACTGGCCCTTACCGGTGACCAACTCGTCTGCCCGCAAAAGCAACAACGCCTAAATCTCAAAGCTCTCCGGATGTCCCCTCGAAAATGCAATCGAGATATGTATAAGAACAATCTTCAACTGGAACGTACTCACCAAATCAATACATCCGGGAGCAAATTCCCGATCAGTGGCGTCACGTGAGAAAATTCACTAGTTGTGCACCTATTTTATTTATATTTTGTCTGTAACAGTAGAAGCCAATTTTGATGCATAATAAAAAAAATAGGATACAAATCTTTCGACGGGGGTACCTGCATAAAAAATAAACGAAATGATGATGGGAAACAGTTCTGCTACCAGTTTTGCTTACTCTTGCATAGAAACATTGATTTTCGTTTTAAGTCTCATGTTTATGATATTTGTCATCGTTACTCACCTTCTGGCAAACGGTCTTTTCAGGAGGTCATCAACAATATCCTGTTCCATGATTCCTATTTAATTTTACACTAAATGTTGGCTACTAAATGAAATGCAGACATGGTAGTGAGAAAATTTAAAAATTTAAAAATTCGATGTGTGCGTGTGTGACGAATGACGGCTCTCCAAGATTCAATCAATTCAGAGAGAAACTCAAATGCGACGTAGCCTATACGTGCCAATTTATTCTCTTCTCTTTAAACTGTGCAAAGATAGAAGTGCACAAAATAAACACTAACACAGCGGCAATTATGCTTACGGGACTTCAATACATATACAACTGATCTGGTTGTAAATACGAGCGTTTCTGGTGCACAAGCATAAGTGCTCAGACTGGGAGAACTTAGCATGCGGTGGCTTTGGTAGAACGAAGGCATATTTTCCTTGCTTGTTTTGTGTCGCTCATTCGCCATAGAAGCCCAAAAAGAGTGTTGTCTGCACGTGGTAAAATTCCAGCGTGCCCGTACGTGAAACCAAGATCGCTATGCCTCGCTTCTGTTTTACGTACATTTCTTTCAGTGGTGGGTAAAACGGAGGTTGAGCAGCGATGTGGTAAACAATTCAGCTACTATCCAGTGATGAGGTGGATAATTCAGTTACTATCCATATGAAACCAATAAATAGGGCGGACAAAAATGGTTTTAATTGAGTATTAAATTTTTGCCTCTTAATTTTTATGAAATATAAATTTTACTTTTTGAAAATTTGAGACTGTGCAGTGCACGAGGTGCACATATGGACGAGACGCCACTGTCCCGATGGTTATTTTTCTCTCGCATGCCCGTCGTCGTCGAACGGTAAAAAAAGGGAACTCGGTGAGCAATTTTGTGATACGGAATTTTCACTGAACATAACCGCAAATTTACGAATTTCACCACTCCCAACCGCGAAACACGTTCAGAAGCACTTTTGGTACACTTTCGAAAACACAAAAAAAAAGTTGCAAGCGAGCCATTGAGCCATTGAGCTCATTGAGATCGATAAATGCGCCTTTATTCCGCCGTTTGCTCTGATATGATTAATTTACTTATTAAAAGCTTTATAAACGTTGAATGTCTTTCTTATTCAAAACCAGAAGTTTAATCTAATAACAAACTGAATAAGTGTAATTTTCACATACATTGTCGCTTTAATTCGACTGTTTTCAATTGCTTTAATAAAATGCTTTATTAGACGTCTTATAAATGTTTTCTAGCTCCATTATTAGATTTCATTGCATTACTGTACAATATTGCTGTATAAAGGTGAATACAGTCAGCAAAATAGCTCTTATACCACTATGCGTCCATGTTTTAGTTGAATGCTTTGTAAATGCTTTATAAACGACGTATTAGATTCATTATTCTACAACACTGCCCAACAAAAAATTCAGAGTCACAAATAAGCATATAGATTGAACAAATGCTTTATAACAGTGTACAATGCAAGAGCAAATTTTCATTATGTCGTAAGTAACATTCGCACCAATCCGAGAAAAATAAAGTTTTGTTTTGATGACCGAAAATTTATTCCTATTTCAAAGTAAACACATATAATCTCATAGTGATAGCAATGTTTAACATATTTAGCAGGGTTTTAATCATACAAATGCAAATCGCTAGCTTTCATGCTAAAAAATACTGGTTTTTGAGTCAAAAGTTATTATACGTCGTTTGGTGGCCCCTATTGTTACTTAAGTCAAAGTGTATTTACCAGGATATTCGGGAGAATTATCAATTATGTCTCCTTACGTGCAGCCCATTCATCATTTTAGGACCACCGAAATCATCTTAGCAACAAACAGTTCGATTTATTCACTTTAATAATGAGAAAGCGAAACGACGAACGTACACTTTTCACGGGTTTCTCAGCGCTGTTACTTAAGTCAAACGGCATCTCCATAGAAATTGGGTGACTTAAGTAACATCGAAAACTATTTTGATCGGAAGGTGATTACGTCAAAAAGCAATTTGACTGGCAAATAAATTTAAAAATGTGATTTGATCCTATATTCGGACAGTATATAGTGTAATAGCAGGAGAATCGATTGACACTGATAGCTCGACTTTGTTTACCTTTGTTACATTCGACGTAATGAAAATTCGCTCTTGAATGCTGAATAAAACGGGTTGTCAAATTATGTGCTCAGAAAACCTCATTGAGATCGATGATGCGCCTTTATTCCGCTGATTGCTCTGATTTGATTAATATACTTATTAAAATCCATACAAACGATGACTGTCTTCCTGATTCAACACCAGAAGTTTGATCTAATAACATACTGAATAAGTGTAATTTGTACATACATTGACGCTTTAATCCGACTGTTTCAATTGATTTAATAAAATGCTTTATTATACGTCTAATAATTGTTTTCTAGCTCCATTACTAGATTCCATTGCATTGCTTAACAATATTGCTGAATAAAGGTGAATACAGTCAGCATAATAGCTCTTATACCACTATGCGTCCATGTTTTAATTGCATGCTTTACAAACGGCGTATTCATTCATTATTCCACAACAGTGCTTCAGACTAATAACAAAACGAAATTGGTAGCATAGTGGTTACCGTTTCCGCTTTCCAAGTAGAAGGTCGCGAGTTCAATCCCAGGCTTAACCCTTTTTTTTATTTATGTTCTACTCCTAATTAATTTAAATCGTAATCATAAATCGTATCACTCACGACAACCAATTCATAGATCTATAGAAAAGAATAGCATCCTCCTTTCCGTCGAAATTAGAGGGATGGAGAGGTAACGTTGTTCTAACGTTAAACAACTATGAATGAATTAATCATTCTCACATCTCCTTGAACTAGCTAGAGTTACGGCTGGAAGTGCTGATAGGTTTTCAGATTCAAGCTTTTATTGCTTATTTAGCTGCTCATATGATGTATTCTAGGATAGCTCAGATGGCAAGGCAAGCGGCTGGTGATCGGAAGTTCATGGTTCGAATCCCATTTAACGACATGTGTGTGTATATGTATGTATGTAATAAATTCGACAGAAAAAATGTGACACAACAATCACAAACGAGAACAACCCTGCTCGTGCCGTTCTTATTTTCGGATTAATTATCCCGTAGTTGAATAATCGTTTAATAAATGTATAATAGTGTCTAATTAAACATTGTTTCACATGAGAATCAAGCGTCTATATACACCTTTATACCATCGCTGTTTAAGGAAGTACAGATGTCTAATAAACGCTGAATAATCAAAAATTTGATCGAATAAGCTCTGTTACAACTTTTGTAAGTCGAATAAAAGCTTCTAGACATACCTTATTCAACACCAAATATTTCGATGTTGTGGTTGAATAAATTCTCCAGATTTGTGTGAACAAAGCCTAAACAGAAGTTATTATTAAAAATAGTACAAATATTATTAAGCATGAAGTGGAATAAAATCGTCAAGAAGTCGTTTCTTCAATAGGCAATTGTTTGTTGGGTAATTTCTGGTCCGGGAGAAAATCAAATAACGCAGATTGCGACATCTCTTCTGATGCTTGCAAACATGTTGAATCATGTTTTCTTTCTCTATTCTAAAACTTCCCGGAAAGCGAAAAAACTACCAATCACACACGTATAAACGTCCGGGAGGCAGAGCGCCAGCGCTAATCTGACATTGCTATGTTCTAAGATGGATCCAATAAACGGTACATGTCGATTTGTTTCAGTATACATATAGAGATTAGTGACGTTTAACGCACGCACACTATCGGGAGCAACGCCATGTAAACATGTGTAAAGTTGTTTATTATTTTCCTCTGGCTAACCTAAAAAATGTATGAAGGTAAAATGAGTTTAACATCGATTTGTTATGTATTTTCCTCGGATATTCACTAACACACTCTCACATATCGCACCAATACAACCGGACGTGAAAATCTCTATATAAATATACATATTCGAAGTTTAATCGTATAAAAATTAATCCTTCTTTGCATAATAATATTTTTGAGTGCATAATTTTGGGTAAATTCTAGTAAATTCAAAAAAGGTTTTCTTGCACTTCTCTGACGTTTGTGAAATGCACAAGTATTAGTGCAGAACTTGTGGTAACTTTGGAAATTATAGTCTTTCTCTATCTAGCACACAGTGATGAGGGGTACGATACAAGTCATTAGTGACATCACTAAATGCGCTTACGTAGATTTTTTGGATTACTTCACAATATTTCTCGATCTGCCGAACCTCTTCCTGTTTTCATTGCATTGGGTTTAATTTTATTTATAACGTCATTGCTACTACACACAAGTTACAGTGTTAAAACTTTCACCCTCTGCCGAAAGTGTTAATTTGATAATACGTTCTAAGTAGCAGTTTACGAATACGTCAGGGTCAGAATAATTGGCAAAACTATGTGTTGAAAAGTGTATTTGGGATTTAAAGACAAACCAGCCAATGGCTGAAAGTCTCTTTAATAAACTAACCTTACCTAACCTGCATTTGCCATTGTTGGGCAATGTTTCACAATCGAACGCCATGATTGTGATAGGTGGGCGAGATGCGTAGGAGCGCCGGATGTAGGTTGTAATTTCAACATTAAATGAAATTTACTACCACAAGCCACTCATTGAGAGTGTAGTTAAGTGCAAGTACGAGCAGCAACAGTAAGGGGGAAAAGAAAAAGAAGGAGTATTGCCAACGCGGTGAAAGCAAAATGGAGTTTGCTGAGCTTATTAGAACTCCAAAGCTGGATGGCGTGCAGATGTACGAGCAACTCCGACGGGAGTCCATCGATGGAACGCTTTGCATCACCGGTCATCACCTGATACTGAGCACACGGAAGGAAGGCGCACGGGAACTTTGGGTGAGATTATTTTATTTTTTTCTATAATTGGTATTACTTTTACTGCCCATAAAAGCAGAACTGCTTGGTTTCCTATTCATACGGGATGATATGCTTTTATGGGTAGTTTTCAGTGGCATTTCCTTAACCTCAATGCACCATTTATCAAAATATTGCTTGCAATGGATAGATATCGAGTTAACTAGAAGATTAAGTGTATTTTTCAACCGATTCGAGTATGAATATGGTATTAAATCTGGTTTTGAAAGTTGGTGCACAGGTAAAAAGTGAGGTTACGGGACGCCACTGGGCATTTTAGCAAAATCTGTGCTAGCATATGGTTTGTGTATCGATTTGAATTGACCACTTTGTCAAGCAGTTTTGGCGTGACTTTCTACCAGCGATTTCACAAAACTGGACCAAATAATTTATATTTTTTTATGAAACGCACAAATGTTAGCTACTTTTCTCGAGGTTCTAGAAGAAAAAATCTCAAAATAATGTTTTATTTCAAAGTTCGAGTGGTAGTAAACGTCATTTTAAGTGCTCGAATAAAGTGGTTAATTATACGGATTTTGCTATGTTCAGGCTACAGAGGTTATAATATATTACAAGAGTATTAGGTCAAAGAATAATTAACAAGAAAAACGTCATCAAGATAGCCTTGCAACGTGTTACAATTCCGTAGTCTGAACATAGCATTGGCCAGACTGAGCAGTTATAAAATTTTCTGAGCCTATAAGGCATTTTTCTTGTCGATAATTATTATAACATGTTATTACTAGAGTCGGTGTATAATGAGTCACGCCAAGAGTGAAGCCAAGTCTACCTATTGAACTGTCAAACCGGCTACCTACACGGTGTTTCGTGAAAACCCATTAATGGGTAAAAAAATACCCATTTTCAAACCATGTATGCAGCTGTCAAAAAATGGGGGAATTTTTAAATCCTAAAATGGGTGAAAAAATACCCATTTAAAGAATCAGTTCACGGTTGAATAATGGGTATATTTTTTACCCATTAATGGGTGAAAAAACACTTCGAAATTTTATTGTCTCATTTCCGTCACCGGCTCATTGGGAATGCAAACCTCGATGCAAACAGTTACTGTCCGCAGCAACGATCTCCGGAAAATGTTAGAATCCAAAACGTTGGAGAGACTTACGGATAAGTCAATACAATGGATAATTTGTATTATAATGTTTCGTGAAAAATTTGAGCGGAACACCTGCATTTATTTTCAATGTTTTAAAAACATTTTTACATCAACGATCGCTTGCATCCTCCATTTGTAAAAATGGGTATTTTTTCACCCATTTTACGGTAAACACAATATAAGAAAATGGGTGAAAAAACACCCATTTATTGACAGACCACCCATTTACCCATTTATGAGTAAACCATAGTTTACCCATTAAATGAGGAGGGGCACTTTTAGCGGAAATGGGTATTTTTATACCCATTAATGGGTTTTCGCGAAACACCGTGTATCGTGCAAAGTAAACAAGCATTACGATGCTATGAAAGGTCCACGAAAGGTATTGCAATTAAATATTAAATATAACCGAAGAAATGATCATATACACGCAGTGAGTATTACATTTGTCATGCGATACGTTTTGTAATGATCAGTAATGACAATTTCTACTATTTTTCCTTAAGATAATTCGACAAAATCACTGATATAATGATTTACTAGAGCCGTTAATTTTTTTCCTAGCTAGAAGTCATTTGAAGTTGATGCAGAAGTCCTCTGTTGCCAAGTTAAAAGAAAGGGAATCTTTCGAAAACCGTGATGCGAGTTCAACTGTTTTTCTCTTGGCGTGACTCATTATACACCGACTCTAGTTATTACAAACTAGTTATTGGTTGAGGTTGAGGTCCCCACTGACCAAAAGTTCGGTTTCCTCAGCATTCTAGAAGAAAAATATCAAAATATTGTTCCACGGTAAAGTTCTAGATGTAGGACACATCATTTTAAGCAGCTAGAATTGTATGCTCCCTTGATTTCACAACATTTCACAACACCATATTTCGAAATTGTTCAATCGGTAAACGACACATCATCAAATTCTTGATTTCACAACATTTCGAAACGATCGAGTTGTTGAACACATCATTTCAAACTGCTCGAATGATATGATATCAGGATTTCACAACATTTCAAAACGCCATATTGTGTAGGTACACAGCAAAAAAAAAAGTAATATCGATCAAAGTAATTCAAACTGATGTATGATGAAATCATGATGTAATAGAAAAACGCAGGTACAATATTACATCAATTGATGTAATTTTGTTCGCAAAATCAGCGGAATGACCTCTGTGCAGCTGTGTGGATGTAATATTCAACAACTTTTTTTTTTCTGTGTACGTTAGGTGTGTACTCAAGGTGTCGTTATCTTTTACTTCCAGTTGCTTCATCAAAACGTGGATTTAGTCGAACGGAAACCATACATCGTTAACAATGTACTCGAGGGAGGTACCATCACGCTCAAGTGCAAAGATCTCCGGATCATCCAGCTCAGGATCAACTCCCCGCAGGAGTACTTTAACATTTCCAATTCCATCGAGCAGTTGTCGAATTTGGAGGAAACCAAGAAACTGTACCCGTTTTTCTACATCCCAATGTACAACGTGATGCAAGATGGCCACACCGAGTACACCATTGAGACTGAATATGCTAAACTGCTTGCCACGGACGAATGGCGTCTGTCGACGGTCAATCACGATTTTAAGGTTTGTCCAACCTATGGCTCCCGAATGTTGGTGCAAAAGTCGATTAGCGACGAACAAATCATTCAATCAGCTGCCTTCCGCGATGGCGGACGATTTCCGGTGCTGGCATACAAGCACACCAACGGAGCGGTGCTATTTCGATGTGCTCAACCCCTCGCCGGACCTGGTGTGAAACGATGTCGAGCAGACGAAGCCATACTTAATTCGCTGGTCGAACCAGGTGCGAAGAAGGGCTACATCTTCGACACGTGGGGTAAAACGAAAAATACCAACACCGAAATCGAACCTCACTACCCCCAGTGGCGGATACTGAGCCGGCCCATTGGGTCGCTAACGTCGTCCATCTCCAGTTTATTGGATAGTTTCGTGAAGCTGATGGATGCATGTAACGATGTCGCCACCAGTTCGGATCGGTGGCTTTCGCGGCTGGAAAGCTCCAGCTGGTTGAGCTTCGTGCTGAATGCGATGAACGTTTCCTGCGTGGTGGCTCAATGTCTGGCCAAGGAGGGAGTGCCCGTCGTAGTGCACGGCGGCAAAGGACTGGACACGCCACTGATCGTCACTTCGGTGGCGCAGATCATTCTAAATCCCGACTGCAGGACAATAAAAGGGTAAGTGTTGCCTACAATCGCATATCAGTCCCATGTGGATTTTCGTCATTTTTTTTTTTTTGATAAAAACGCTATCCACTATCAAATTGACCACTTTGTCAAGCAGTTATAGTGTGACTTTCTACCAGCGATTCCACAAAACTGGACCAACTAATTTCAATTTTTCTAACGAACGCACAAATGTTGGCTACTTTTCTCGTGGTTCTAGAAGAAAAAATCTCAAAATAATGGTTTATTTCAAAGTTCGAGTGGTAGTCATTTAACTGCTCGAATGAAGTGGTTAATTGGCATCTATTTTTCATATTATGTGATAAGAATATCGGCCTTTATATTGAACAATTTGAAAACAACATCAAGGCAGTTTGTCCCAACAAGCAAAGTAATCGCATATCAGTTCCATCCTGCAATTCAATCGGTCAGAGCAGTGATAGCATAGTCAAATTAATATTTTTCCGCTCCCATACGCGCACAATATCACTTGATATTGATTTTACAAGCTCCTTTGATATTGCGAGACTATTCACAACGTGTAAAGTTTATGCCTCGATTGAAGCTGAGAGTTGAATCGACGCAAGAAATGATTCAGTTGCACGTTGCACCTGGTTTTCTTAGAAAGATAAAGCTGGGTTTGGACTAGGAAACTCAGTTGAATTCAATTGACTTGAAAAGTTGAGCCTGGTTCAACTTTTTTCAATTCAAGTGAGTTGATCAAGTCAGTTGAATGGCATTGTTTACACGTTCAATTCGCGTTCAAGTCAGTTGAATTCAACTGACTTGATCAATTGACTTGCTCTGTTTAAATGCTATCTCTTTTTGTATCTTCACCGAAGGCAGACACGAACGACTGCTGCTATATAGCCATTTTCGGGAGCGTTCGGGTGTAAAACAAAAATCATGAAACTCAATCTCACCAATGTTTGGTGCAGTGTTGCCAGATTTTTCAAAGCTTATCCGTATCAAAGGTAAAAAAAATCGGTATTTACTATTTAATTAATTTTATATTTTTCCCGTTTTTGAAAGTAAAATTTTTAACAATGGTGACGACTGGGACTTGAGAAGAATTGCTTTGTTTAACGGCTTTCTCAGTCTTAAAATACCCTTCAATTTTTTTAAATTACCGTTGTCCTCAAATGGTGATCGAAATTGTGACCAAGTAGTTTTTTTTTCAATTAAATATCATTAAATGAAACCAATATATGGAAAATCAGCCACAACAACGACTAAGCTATTGACAATAAAGATAACTAATATTTTCCCTTGAAAAAGGTCACAACCCGTGGCCGAAATGCCGAGCAGATTACATCGTAGTCGTTGCAGTATTTTAAGACTGAGAAAGCCGTTAATCAAAGCAAAATGTTTGCTTTTGAACTATGATCGAAAAATTCGGAATGTTTGAATTAGCTTCTGAACGAAGCTGAAAAAAACATCCAGAGAAAGACAAAAGAAGCTCTCCTGGACGAAGTTCGAGTAAAGTTCTAAGAAAAGTTAGAAAAAACATCCGGGAAACTTCCAAGACACGAATTGAGAAACTTGTGGCGAAAATTTAAATAAACTATCGGATAAAAAATCGGATGTCACATCCAAAGGAAGCCAGAAAAGTTTCAAAAATCGGAAGTAAATTTACAGAAGTAGCCATTTCCAGAAAAAGCCAGAGGAAGCTCGAAAAAACCTTCCAAAAGAAGTCGAACAAAAAACCTTTGGCTTATGGTCAAACTTCCAGAAGAAGACGAAAGAAATTTCTGGGAGAATTAATTGAACTTCCTTAAGTCAGAAACCAGACCGCTTACGGAACAGTCGAAAGAAATAAGTACATAATTCATAAAACATCCCTGAAGAGTCCACAATTTCCACAAGTTTTCGGAACATTCCTGAAATGCAGTTAGGAATATTCCATAATTCCTCGAAATTCCTTAAAAGTTCTTGTAATTTTCCTGAAATTAGGGACTGTGACTACCGGAATATCTCTAATCATCTTTGAAGGTCTCTGGACTTTCTTGAAGATTACGAAATCTCTAAAATGCTCTCACACATTTCTTGAATTTATTGTAACACTCGTTGTAACATCAGCATTGAAGTTCTCTGATCTTCCCGATTTTTTTTTGATTTTTAAAAGTTATCGACACTGCCATTAAAAAAGCATAGAACTTCCCATAAAATGTTCTCGCAATGTTCTAAGGTTCTAATGTTCATGTAACTTCCCTTACGTTTCCTAAATTTGCATTAGCCCCTCAGGACATTGCTGAAGTTTTCGGAAATTGCCTGAGTTTCTCAGAACTCCTTTATAATTTGAGCAAATTGATTGAAATTAATTGATCTGTCCTGATGTTCTCCTAAGTTTTATGTCTGGGAAACTAGTTAACAGTAGTGATCGTGGTGAAAATAAACTCGAACGAAATAAAAGACCGTGTTCACAGTTGGAGGTATCACAAGCAAGTGCCGTAATCAAACTTTATTGCTTTCGCTTTACAACTTTCAAAAGGCTCACAGATCAACTGAGTAATTTTTCGCTCTCACGGCGAATGAGAACGACCCAAATTTGAGTTTAGTTCACTCATAATCGCCAAAACTGCAGGAACTCAGCGATGAGTAAAATTTGTCTCATGTTTTCCCAAGTTTTTCCAGGGAAAAATTCCCGAATTTGAGAAAAGTAAAGATTGGATTCACTCAGTCTATTGGTGCTACTCCGAGACTGAATAAAAATTTCGTCAATTTCCTCATTTTCCGGGCAGATTTTTTAGGTTTTCCACAGGAAACTATGAGACAAATTTACTCATCGCTGAGTTCCTGCACTTTTGGCGATTATGAGTGAACTTAACTCAAATTTAGGTCGTCCTCATTCGCCGTGTTCGCTTAACGCTTTTCGCCTGCACGCTCAAGGCAGATACCTTAGCTCTTCCCCCTTGGAAAGATTCTTGTCAGTTAAATTCATTATTTTAATTTAGTTTCCTAATTCACAATATTAGTATGCGTTAATAATTTTAATCAGAAAGCAATCCTTATTATAATATGCACAATTAATTCAATACACAAATTCTCCGTCAAACTTTCCCTTCCTTAATCTCTTAGAACGCCTTGGAGCCAGATTCGATGGCGTTTCGATATCATCTGTCGAATTTTCGACTACGTATTTCCGTTTACGCCCACGCTTGATTTTAGCTTCCGAAAATCCATTGAATTCTTCACTGCTTCACTGCTCTTGATTCCATTTTAGATTGCATCTGTAATGTGTTACGAGAATATTTTTTTTACAAAATGTGCCTTTGGTCATTTAGCCGAGTAAGGGGGATTGTGGTTTTTATACCACACTTCATCCCCTTCTGTCAGGTTTTCGAATGGATCTGGTCCATTAACGGGGTTAACCCCACTAACTTTCGTATTAACCTCATCATCCAAGGGAAAAATTGATCAACCCTTTGGCCATATTCGTCTTGCACCGCTAGGTGTTGTTTATATTGCATTTTGGGATTCAACAAATCAAAAATGATTTTTGGTTTGTATGCAAAAATCAAATGTGATGGAAAGTTTCCGTCAACAGTTGTTTCTATAATTGATTAAAAACAGGCTAATTTGGTCCTCCAAATCCAAATGTGAAATTTCTGGATCTAATAGAATTTTTTTTAGAACATCCTTTACAGTTCTCACTAGCCTTTCCGCTTGTCCGTTACTGGAGGGGTTGTAAGGTGGACTTTTAAGTACAACTATCCCCTGTCGTTTTAAAAAGTTCATAAACTCAAAAGAACTGAATGGCGGTCCACCATCGGAAACCAATACATCAGGTAAACCAAACCTAGCAAATTGAGCTACTAATTTCTTCAAAACTTTTCCACAATCAGTACCCGTCTTCATCCATTCAATCTCCAACCACTTCGAAAATAAAAATGTACGATGATTAAAATAAAAGAAGTCGATATGAATTCTGCTAAAGGGTCGTGTGGTTGGAGTCCATTTAGAGTCAGTTTGTATTTTGGAACAGCTGCCATGCCATTGCACGCATCACAGTTTGCTACATATTTTTCAATATCTGAGTTTATTCCAAACCAGTAAACATTTTGTCTTGCTAAACGCTTCATTTTTACCATACCTGTATGATTAGCATGTAAAAGCATAAATATGTGTTGTTTCATTGATGAAGGTACTACAACTCTATTCTGATATAAAATATATTTATCTACGAGCTCTGAATCTTGCTGATTAGTCGACAAATTGTTTACCCACCTTTGATGGCCAACCTTTTTGTATAAATGAAATAACTGATTGCTTTCAATGCTATCGCTTTATGGTCTATAGGAAATTCTCCACTAAAATTTATGCTACTGATTAGTTCTTTATCGTATTCATCGGGGACTGCCCGATCCAAAGGAAATCGAGAGCAAAAATCAGCGTTACACCTTCGCTCTGACTTTCTATATTGTATCTCAAATTCATAAATTGATAGCTCGAGTACATATCTTTGCAACCTAGTGGCATAAATGGCATTTTTACCATCTTTACCAAAAATTCCTACCAATGGTTTGTGGTCAGTGTAAATGTGGAACTTTTTCCCGTATAGAAATTTATGAAATTTCTTCACAGTACATACTGAAGCAAGTGCTTCCAAATGAAGGATAGGGTAGTTCTTTTGAGCTGAGTTCAACGAAAACGATGTAAACAATATTGGCTTCTCAACTTCTTCAACAATGTGAGCCATTACTCCCCCTAAACCATATCAGACGCATGTGTATCTAACAAGGATTTCTTACTTTCTTGAAAAGCTTTATCGCAGTTTTCATCCCATACAAACTGGACGCCATTTTTTAACAAATTATATAAGAAATACAACTTTGATGATAAGCGTGGGATGAATCTGTGATAATAATCAATTAATCCCAACAATGACTTCAATTCCGTTTTATTTTGTGATGCATTTGCCCGTTCTATAGTTGAAATCTTGTCTGGGCATGGTTCAGGGTGGCAAGTGAACCAGGAAAACCGGGAAAAAGTCGGGAATTTATTTTCAACAGGAAAGACCGGGAAGTCCACCAGAAAAATTATCTTGTTTGTATAATTTAAATAGGTTTTAAATTTTATGTATGTCAAAGTTTCTTTTTATAATCAGGTCAAAACTAACCATTTTGTTCAAGCTAAATCTTTCATACAACTAAACATTCATGAACAAAATTTACCCTGAGAATTTAGTAAATATATTTTGTATTTATTTTTAATTTGATTTTCTCTCGAATCAATTGCATGTATGATTTGTGCTTAATTGATAGCAGACTTCAGCAGTGCCGACGCGTAACTACTTCGAAGTACCTGTTCAACTTGTTCAATAAAAAAGTTCTATTTCTAAAAACTTCAGATAAGGCCTTCGAACTTCATGCAAGTTCTACAAAATTCGGGAAAGTCTTACAAGTTTCAGGAAAAGGATCAGGATCGTGGATTTACTACTTTTACGGATGTTCCGGATCTTCCGCTGGATGGTCCGATGGCCATCTGAGTCCATGTCCCAAATTCATTCTTATATCACATAGGAGCTATAGGATCAGTTTCATGGATTGTCCACTTTTACGGATGTTCCGGATCTTCCGGCGGACGGTCTCATGGCCAGCCAGGTACATGTTTATGTCACTACCCCAAAATATTTTTTTATATAACAGTTCCTAATGTTTAAAAAAAAAAACCACAGAGCTCTAGGATCAGGTTCACGGATCGACCACTTTTACGGATGTTCCGGATTTTTTGAGGACCGTTCCGTTGTCTCCAGGATCCATATATAGGAACCATGACTGTTTTCTGGCTAATTGTGAACATTTGTGCCCATTAATTTAAATTACAGATCTTGCGCCACTTGCAAAACCCTACAAACACACCTCTCAAAAAAACGTGTAACAACTCTTTTCGCTTTTTAAAAAAGTAGACTATATGTACTCTATTTTTAATGTTTTTTGCAATCAAAATTATTTACAAACCCTAAGAATTCTAAAGGTACCACAAAATTGAAATTCGTTGAGAAATGCCTAAGTTATGACATTGCAAACTTGCCGTTACACGTTTTTCGGAGGCATCGTATTCGGAGTGTTAAAGTTATGAGAACCTAACGATAATGCCCTCCCCATGGACATGGAGGTTGACGGTACTGAAGCAAAGGGTTATGTTTAATTTCTTTATATTTGCAACGATGATGATTTCCCATAGTGACACATATCACCTTCTTAATGCTTCAGTATACCTCAAACGATTAATTCTTGGTTGTTAATAGAACTTCCTTGATGCAATCGGCTGCTTCATGCAGACTGAGCAATTCTGATTATAGTATCAGATTTGTTCTGTATACAGAGGAACTGGGAGGGCTTATTAGAAACTTCTCACCAATAAAGTAATGACCTTCTAGTAAATTTTGCATATCATTTTATTAATATTTTATTTTATTTAAGCATATTATTTTTGTTACAGTCAATTAGCATTAGCATACAATACAAGAGATTTAATATTACTTGCTCGGTTTTGCGTAAAAAAATCAATATGTATTTTGCTTGTAATTACCTTTGAATTTTTTTTTTTTGTGATTTCAAAATTTTCCTAGTTTGGTTAGAAGTTTCGAAGCTAACACATGTCCACAGGCCTAATAGAAAGATAGACAGACAAAGCGTATCATGAAGAATAGTTGCATGCAGGGTTGCTTCCACTCACTTTCTATAGATGAGTGATTTTCGGAGTTTTGAATTCGTTAGATGTTGTAGTGGAGGTTTGTGTTGTTGGATGCGGGAGGAGATTGGAGGGCGGGTGTTTGACCTGTGTTTGAGCCTGTCAATTTCGCTTTCAGAGTGTCGCAGTCAGCGGTTTTATGATTCGTGCTCGCGATTCGTAGAATCGTTGATTGTGACTGCCAGTGGATTTGGCGGGTTTTGTGTGTCGGACGCTTGCTTTTTGGCCTTTTCTTGTGTCTAACATGTGCAGAGTATCATTATAGCGTCTAATGGTTTTGAGATTCCTGGTTGCGTAAAATATACTTGTGAGAATATCTTTTTGAGATTTTAGTAGTCACGTTTTGTTTGTAGTTTATATGTTATTTCTTCTATGTAATTATCGTAAATAATAGTTATTCAATAATAGATACACTCTGAAAAATCTTCACGTCCGATCTACCTGAGAACATAGGTGGTTTTCGTTCACCCTACTTTTCACGTAACTTTGACTGGAATACTATGTAGCCAAAAAAAAATCAGTTTCATTTGTCTACGTGATCAGTCAAGTATATAAGGCATGATTTCCACGTACTACTTAATTGAGTAAAAAATACAGGAAACATTCGTAATTTTTAAGTGATATTCCGTTTCATTCGAAATGCGTTTCACGTCATTTGCACGTGATTTTGGAGTGATAGTAATTGAACGTATTAATAGCAGCAGTCAATATTTTGCAATTTTATCGGGCAGCTATAAATGTTGCGTGTTGCATTTGATATTTATACCTGCTCATAAAATTGCAAATTATTGACTGTTTAACAAAATATTTATAAATCTGTTTCAAACTCTGTTTCAAACATTTATTTAAATTATCATTAAAATTATTCTTAACTCTAAACATGTACGAATTTTCAACGCGATGTAGTGATACAGGCTGACTGTCAAAATAATCTATGCTAATTATATTTACCAAACTTAAACGATTCATCGCTTGGTATGCTAAAAAGTGTTCTTGGTATTGGCCTACATCCCACATTTGTACTATTAAATACAATGAATTTTCTAAATACATTATTTCAAGAATCTCATATAAAAGTGTGGTACCGTTTCTGAACATTGTCATGACATTTCCTGTTCGATAATTAGTTCCTTTGTTATTCACACTGCCTGAAAGCATCACTTCATAATCTGTCTGTAGACGCAGAGGCTAACAAGCTCGGAGAAGTATTTTCGTAATCGAATATCGCCCATCTGAAATCCGAATAAATATGACGATGTGCGCGAAATATCTTTATAGCCCAGCTCTTCTAAGCATGCTAAGAACTGATCCTCGGATGCAGTAAGGAGGTTAAAGATACCGAATCCACCTTCTGAAATTATAAACATATAAAAGAAGCTACGTTAGTGACTCATAATCTTAAACAAATAAAGTAAAATAATCAAATTACCGTCCAATACTTTCAGCAAGCTGTCGGGAAATTTTAAATCGTTGAGGAGTTCTTCCGCCAAATTACACTTTGACGCCATATTGATTTTTTGCATACCTGAAAATCACGTAAACCTAGTTTCACTGAAATGTCAAAGTCGGAAACTCACTAACACAGACACACTAAATATGTTCACGTGAAAATATGGTAGATTTCACTAACATTTTTAGTGAACATGACGTGTGATGCAGGTCAAAGTGACTAACGTCACGTAACATTTGAGGTTTTCTAAAATCAGAGCAGCTACGAGATATTTCACGTAAATCGGACGTGAAAATTTTTCAGAGTGTAATTCATCCATATATTCAATAATAAATTTACGAATGACTATAATTTGGATACCTAACAATTGGACAGAATCACTAGCAAGAATAGGTTGTGTTCGCCTTCGAAAATATCGATTCGTTTTTTCAGGGTTGTAGTTTTGGTTTTCATCAGTGGCCCGGCTCTGATTGTGAACGATTTAGGTAGTATTCTTAGGTAACTATTTAGCTTTTAGCACAACTTTGCTACTACGAATCCACAAAAGACATTAAATTGGAGGCGGATTCTGGTACGGAATTACAGGCTGCTATTCTGAGCAACTTATCTTCATAAAATTAAAAATTACATTTAGGTATTAATTAGCAAATATGAATAGTAGTTAACTTTAACATAATTTTGATAAAACAATCATTTCATCCAGTTCACTTTAAAACAAACAAGTATGAAAGGAGATTGCTTAGAATAAAGATAAAAGTAATAAGCGCAATATTAAACGACCTTAAATTTGAATCTGATACGGTAGGCCATATAACAGAGTCGATAGCCATTGCAAATCAACCATCTCTACCTGCTTATTTTCCTAACTTTCACTATTATTGCTGTTACTCTGACTATCCCCTATGTTCAACAGCTTTCCTTACTATCCGGTATCGTAAACAGGATTCATTTGACCCCTGTGGTTATTATTCTGTGATGCCAAATCTATACCTCTACCCTGGTGCAGTATGGACAGCGATTTTTCGCTTGTGACTTGGCCCTATGACCCCCTTCTGTGCTTGAAAATGAAAATGAAAATGAAAAATGAGAACCTAACGATAATGAAAAAAAAAAAAAAATCTGGCCCCCATGAGTATACACATTTTTTAACGTCCTATGTTTTCCTCCTATTTCCAGATTGCAAGCTTTAATCGAGCGGGAGTGGCTGCAGGCAGGGTACCCATTTTCGACCCGCCACAAAAACTCGTGCTACACCCCATCGGTCCAGCGACACAAGACGTCCAGCGCGACGTTCGTGCTGTTCCTGGACTGTGTGTTCCAGCTGTACCATCAGTTTCCGTGCAGCTTCGAGTTCGATTCCCGCTATCTGATAGTGCTGTTCGAGCACAGCTACAGCAGTCAATACGGGACGTTCCTGGCGAACTCGGAACGGGAGCGGATCGAACTGCGCGTACGGGAGCGGACTACTAGTTTGTGGAGCTACATCAATCGGCCGGAAGTGATCGACACGTTGCTCAATCCGATGTACATTCCGAACTCGGTCGTAATATGGCCCTCGGTGGCACCGCTCAGCATCGTTTTGTGGTCGGACGCGTACACCCGGTGGGTGATTGATCAGAGCGTTGCGCGGACCAACCGAGATCGGATGCTCGGAATCGTTAGCGAAGAGAAGGAGCTGGAGAAGAAGGTGAAAAGGCTCCGTCGGGAATTGTCCGATCTGCAGCGGGAGTACATCCGCTTGAAGCTGGAGGAGACGCTGCTGTCCGACGAGGGAACCGAGGAGGACGCCGACGCCAGTGACAGTAAGTAGGATCTAGAGAAAGAAAGAAGAAGAAGAAGGTGCTAAACAATGACAGAGCGAACAATGATCGCCTTCTATCTCTCTCGAATACCTAATCCCTTAAGTGAAACCGTGACATTCCCCGCCGCCGTCTGGTATCAACCTAGTTGTTGGATTGCCTTTTATATCTCTATTTTAAAGCTTTAAAACGTCGTCGAATAGGACTCCAACAGGAGGAGGCCACCTGTTATTTTGGAACAATATTATTAGTACCATTCATTGCACGCATTTAATTCAAATCTCGATTCGATCTTTCAAATTGTTTAGAGTCTAGTCAGTTTTATTTTCGTTAGATTTATTAAGGTAGCACGTAAGATTATGCGTTGAAAAGTGCAAGTTTTGATTGGAGCTTCTTTTTTTTATGGGCCACACCGTTATGCGGGCAGGAAACGAGACTTGAGGGAATTTACCGGTAGCAAGTTTTTGGGACAGCAGCTCTCAAAACGTGAACAAATCTTACAATATTGCTACCAATGGATAAATATTAGTAAAGCTAGAATTTACTAGAATACTTAGTGCACAGATAAAAAGTGCGATTACGCGACGCCACTGTATCGTCGGTTGCATGCAATACTTTCACAAAGTAGAAATTTCCCAAATTTAGAGATTTTGATGGCAAATGACGGCAAATTGTGTGAAGTATCATTCCACAGAAACCCATTGTGTAATTTGAGAATAATCGAAAAATATCATGAAAGGCACTTTTTTGAGTTATGCAAGTTTTCTTCATGCTATATGTTCACAACTCAAAAAAATAAACCCATTTTTGCACAACTCAACATATTTTCTATAGAAAGTAGTAAACATCGTTGGTTTGCTAAATTTGTGTACGAATTTTTGATAAAATTAATGAAACACACCCGCTTTATTCCAATAGAAATGAAAAGAATCATGCGACAGTATTGCATGAAACCGACGACATATCCTTTCCTACTCCATGACCTCTCCAATATCGAGTTAGGCCTCCTATGTTTCTTAAATATTGCCCACTCTAATTTCAACCATGTTCCTATTAAACTAGCGAAAGATTGAAGGGATTGTGGCACGAGGCATAAAACGGTAAGTCCCAATACATTAATTGATAGATTCCGATGCTCCGTTTCGATTTTCTTTCAAATGAAAACCTCTGGTCTTGAACTGTCCGGAGAAGCCCACTATGTTCGCCTCCATGAACGGCACCCGATTTAAACTCATGCCAGTGCTGAGTGACTGGTATGTTAATACTTTTTCCGCACTACTGTGTTACCTGACTTATAACGAATATATGATCAATGATTTTGATTTTTTGAACTAATTTGAGTTCAGTTTACTCATAAATCGCAAAATGTGCAGGAACTCAGCGATGAGTACATGTTAAAGCCCTCTAGTTAAAGTATGGACGACTGTCACCACAAAACTGACCAATCGAGCAAAGCGGTGCATTTTGACGGTTCGATTGGAACAACTTTTGACAGACGTCCATACTTTTACTGTAGGGCTTTAGTAAATGTTCCTTGAAGGTGTCGGATCGCAGTGTTGCGCTACTTGAAGAGTACAACACACTTGAAATGTAAAGTTGGAATGTTTGAAAGACCTCTTCCGATGATTTAGATTTCCTATTACAGTTTGTTTTTGAGCCGAAAGAAATATTTCACGATCTTAGTTATGGCCATATAAAACGTATCGATTTAGTCTTGTTGCCTGTATTTGAAGGCGTCTACCCAACAGAGGTTTTCCTGTATAGCAAGTTTGCATATCACATTGTTCGATCGAGCAGACTTCAAATGGGAGAAGGGCTTTCTTGTTGTTCAAGCGGTATCCAAACTATGGTAGACTCGTTCCGTGTTGACTTCTCGATGCTCTCTGTAAACTTTTCGAAACTGTCGCGTTGTTTGGTTGCATTCAGTTTCGCGATTATGGTACTTCGGTGCAGTGGAAATGCAACATTTTTCTTTTAATTTGTTAATAATTTCGTCGACGCTAGCAGGGTTAATATTCACTGCCGCGCGAGCCTAGCCTTCCAGTCGAGATAAAATGGTTTGGATAGCAGCTTGCTTATTATTTTCGTTGATTAGAGGTTTGCATGCGTTTAAAGCTGCTAAAACACTTTCTAACTTGTTAATTCATGGTCATACAACTTCCGTTTGGATGCTGGCCACATACTGTTTACGTACTCTTCGTGATCCCATACCCTGGGATGCACGACATTAGGTTTTGCACCGTCGGGGTTAACCTCAATCTGATGACAGTTTAGTGGTACTGTTTACGTGGACTTAGTCGATTTTTTCTTGGGTGGATTTTCCCGATAATTTTTCAGATTGCAGTGAGATGTAAACCACATTTCTGCAATGTTCACGAGCGTAATCCTTGCAACGCGCTGTTCCTCGACAATTTTCAAGTTAAAATTCGGAAATTTTAGAATTTTTTTTTTCGAAAAAACGACTAAGTGCTTGTAAACAGTACCACTGAACTGTCAAAAAGGTTCAGCCTATTAACACTGAGTTCATTCGTGACGTCACGCTGCAGAACCTAATAGCGTTTGAGATGGCTGTAGAGATTGCTGATGGCTTGTTTATCGTACTCTTTAAGCACTTCAGCTCTGTGTCGATTTTGGTAAGCCGCTCGAGTAGTTTCACCTGAACTGGGGTAGTAGTACCATTCTTGAGGTCATCATATGATGAGGCAAGCGAGGTGATAACTTTAATCACTTCTATTATACTTGCCATTTTTTCTCTTTGTTATTCTTATACAAAATATTATGATTACAATTAATGATTTAAATTCTGAACTTTTCCTTGCAGTTTGCAGTCTAGTGTTGAAATTATTTATCTCAAATTTTAAATTTCTACTACCATTTATGTAATGATTCAATCTATCGCGATTTATTTCATATTCATTTTCTAAGATAGTTTCTGATTTTTTTTTGTATAATTCTTCAAACGTTATTTTGTTTTTTTTTAAACGTTTTTAGTAAATAGTTTCTATATGGGTTCTTATGAAGATTTAAGTCTTAGTCTTCCGGTAGCATTTTTGAGTCCACTTTTGTAATTTGTTCTTGACGTGGATGAATGTGGATAAAACTTCTATCGTTGATATGGTTTCCAATACTTTCACTGCGTAAGAGTTTTTGTGTTTCTTTACTATCGTTAGCACTTTTTTTCCGATTCTAACATGTCCAATACTGCTTTTACCCTTTTTTCTTCTTCTCCAGATATACCCAAGTTGGGTTTCTGCAACATTTATTCGGGTTGCAAATACCTAGCTTATGCTTCAAATGAGCAATTTTATCTAAAGCGTGGTCTTTCTTATGCTCATTTTCACTACCGTGTTAACAGTGTTTTATCACAAAACTCGACTTTAGACTTCAGTTAATTTACTAATTGTATGCACTATCACTTCGCTGCCATACGCTCTCGTTGATTTCGGTTGTGGTTCTTGAAGATTTTTAACACTCCATAGGCTAGAGCTATGAACGCTAGGGCTGTTAGGGCCACAGTCATGGGTACTAGTATCGACGGACTGTACAATCTCGTCTGAACTAAACCATCCCATTATGAGTTCACTTCGGTCACTTGTGCACTTTTCGATTACTTCGAACACTTTCACTATTTTTGAAATAATTTACCAAGCGCGAGACGGTTTGAAAAATTTCGACTTTTAATACTTCGTGACTCACTGTCACGGTCAGCCATGTAGCAGGTTTGCATATCACATTGTTCGATCGAGCAAACTGCAAATGGAAGAAGGGTTGTCTTTGTTCATGCGGTATCCAAACTATGGTAGACTTATAAAAGTATCTACTAACTTTGTTCAGGCTGAAGGGAATGTTTGTTTACGGTTGGGTTATTGTCTTGGTTGTTTGTAGGGATGTACATGACACCTGCAAAAAAAGTACAAGCGATAAGTAGCGCATCATGTAAACGTAGTACTCTTCATTATAACCCTCGTCGTCAGCAATATCATTTGCGATTTTATATGTAGGCGCAGTTACACGCAGTTGGTTCCGATTGACCTGATGAAATTCGGTCCCCGGGAAACAACGCGTCAATGTTCTTTTAATCCCTAAGAAGTTTAGGGCTTAGACAGAGTTTAGACAGCCCATGGCGAGGCAGAGGACGACTGATAATGGGAGGCTTACTGCTCTCCTTTGGACCATCCATTATAAATCGAAAATAGTCGTCAAAAAGTAATTATTATTTTACTTTTTTTTATTAACGAACCACCCTAAGTGGAACGATTCCACTGGGGGATTGTCTTCCTTACGAACAAACGGTATGTTATGGGTGGTCAACCAATTCACAGTGCCTTTGCGTGACGCCTGGCTTAAAGTACTTAAGGCGCACGCACATTACATCCGGATCGGACGCGTTGCGGCAAAGTGACAGCTAAATCTATTGTCTAACTGTCAAATTTACGTCAACGCAACGCAAACGGATCTAATGTGTGTGGCCCTTTACGGCGCAGCCAATTCAGTCTGGATGCTCGCTTGTAACGTTTCACGCCCTTCACCTTCCGGATTCTGACCACCGTACTCTGCGACGTGTCGAACTTCTTGGCCAGCTTCCTGGTGCTGGCGCCAATCTTGTTCTTGACGGCAGCTTTCAATTTCGTCCGCTTGGCGGCGCTTATTTCGCTCCGTTGGCCTGGTTTTTTTGTATAGTCGCTATATTCATAGTCTGGCGGATAGAATTTCGATCTTTGATAGAAAGCGAAACCAATTCAATATATTTTAGACCAACAATTGAAAAGGTACTATCAAACTTATAAACAAAACGTTGATTATTCTTTCCTCGCCAATCGAACGCAAATTACCGGCATAATCGGATAGGGGCAACTTTCCCCAACCCAAAGATGGTGTCAGTTTGCGTAGGCGAGCCTTGAGTCACGAGAAAAAGGGTTTCCGAAGTTTTGTTCGCAATAGCTGATGTGCTCTTTTCTATTGTGGGTTGTGATTTGCTCGATTGGTTCCGCTATTTGACAGCTCAATTGGTTCTCGAGATTCTATCCGACAGACTATGAATATAGCGACTATAGTTTTTTGTTGTTGGTCATTGGCCCTCCGTCAAAAAATGCCTCGCCACACACTTATCCAGTCAGTAAATTTTACCGAGTTTTTGAATTGCGGAACTGTTCGGTAAAATTAAAAAAAAAATCTGTGAAAAATTCAAAGTTGAATTAATGTGTTACGAAAATTTACAGACTTACTTCTGTTAACCCCGTTTAATGTTGAAAAATAAAGTTTGTCGATTTTATCGAATCTTTGCGAATAACGGTCATTTGAATTTTAACCGAGTTTTTCAGTAATTCGAAAATCCAGTAAAAAAATACTGACACCTGTAAAAAAAATCTAAGTGTGCATCTACGATTTCGGATGCTGTCCAAGCATCCGAAAGACGCACTCCCGGAGAAAACTCTGTTCCGCGACCTTCATCGTAAACGTACGAAAACAGACTGAGCACGAACAACGCCCACAGAGAGGAGAACAAACACACAGCTAATGTCTCTCTCTAGCGCATGTGGCGGAAAACGTGACATGAATTTAGTCCCGCTACTTATAACTCAGCCGTCATCAATTCAACTGACTTGAACGCGAATTGAACGTGTAAACCATGCCATTCAACTGACTTGATCAACTCACTTGAATTGAAAACTCAACAGGCGCAACTTTTCAAGCCAATTGAATTCAACTGAGTTGATCATTTGACTTGCCTAGTCTAAACCCAGCTTTATGGCTGTATGGCCATATAGAACACAGCAGTTTTGTCTTATTATCTATTTTTGAAGGTGTCCATCAAACAGAGGGTTTTCTGCAAAAAAAAGATCAATCGCGATAAGTAGCGCATCATGTATTTTGCAATTTATAAAACTTCAAAGGTTTTTGTTTGAACCGAAAAAAATAATTTTGCAATCTTGATTCTACTTTCTTGCCAGTGTTTGTTTATATGGCCGTATGGCCATATAGAACATAGCACTTTTTTGTCTTGTTGCCTTTAGTTGAAGGTGTCTATCAAACAGAGGGTTTTCTGCAAAAAAAAAGATCAATCGCGATAAGTAGCGCATCATATATTTTGCAATTTATAAAACTTCAAAGGTTTATGTTTGAGCCGAAAAAAATTATTTTACGATCACAGAACTGGTAGTGAGTCACTTTTTAGTGACTTGTGCGTGGTCGGCGGTCATCAAACAAACTACCCGACACTGGTTTAGATACAACAAGACAGCAGAGCTTTCCGACGCGCCAATCTTGACATGTACATAGCGATTCACCAAGTAAGATCTGAACCAATCCACAGCAGTTGACGATATGCCAAGTATCTCCAGCTTGGCCAGCAAGATATTATGGTCCACCGTGTCAAATGCAGCTTTTAGATCCGTATACGCAGCATCGACTTGCCATCCTGAATCCATGCATCGCATACAGTTAGAAGTGAACTGCACCAGGTTCGTGGACACGGAGCGCTTCGGGTAGAAACCGTGTTGTTCTGTATCCATATAATTTTTGCAGCGTGCGAACAGAGCACCATTTATGATAATCTCGAACAGTTTTCAGCAGGCACACAGGGAGGTCATTCCACGATAATTTGCGACATTCCGTTTATCTCCTTTTTGTACACTGGGAACAGATAAGAAAGTTTCCAGCGGCAGGGGAACTCACATTGCTGTGCCGAGAGATTGAATAGCCTCGCAAGTGGAGGGCAGAGATTGGCTACACAACGTTTTAGAACTGATGACGGAATGCCGTCAGGTCCGGCGGCGAACGAGAGCTTCAGTTTGCGTGTTGCGGCTGTCACCATGTCTTCTGAAATGCGCGGAATAACGAAACTAAACACATCACGTGGCATCCCAACAGTAGCGTCCAGCACTTGTTTTCGCGAAGCGGAGAAATCGTGGAACACTTGCTTGAAATGACGAGCAAACAAGTCGCATTTTTCTCTTTCGCTATTAGCCGAGTCATTCCCGAGAAGCATGGAACAAGGCAACCCGGATTCCTTCCGTTTGGAGTTGACAAACGACCAAAAACTTTTCGGACTGAAACGTAAACACGGCGATAAGTGAAGGGCGACAGTTTTTCAGGAAATCAAAGCAAGGCGCATAGTATTGGGCGATCCACATATAAAAAACGACGAATTCTACTTTGTTCAATTTTCACACGCGGCAACCGTACACGGTGTTTCGTGAAAACCCATTAATGGGTAAAAAAATACCCAT